AAACTAGAAGATAACAATTTTAAAAAATCACTTCATGAAAGAAATACTGAAGATATGTACTATGTCACCTGATTTACAATTTAATGAAAGTGGTAACATTTTTGGTAGGTCATGGCTTGGGTAATTCTACACCCTTTCAAGTGGGTCCTATCCTGACACCATAACAAGCACTGTGGGCCCCATCCATGTCCTTTGTTGGTTATAATACATCAAGACCTTTGATGCATAGCTTAACTCCAAAAACTATATGACCTGTCAAGATGAACCTATATACCAATCTAGCAATATAACTGTAAATTAAAGTTGGCTAGTAATTACAGTTGTATTCAATCATTACATAAGCAGTATAAATGGTAGCTGTGTTAAACACCTCAGTTACCAAAAATAACACAATTACCAAATATAATTTCTACACTAACATCTATGCTGTTTTAAGTTCTGTCAAAGTTTTTTTTTTTTTCTTTTTTTTTAATAAGAAACTATTAAACTATAGTAAAGAAGAGATTGAGATAAGTACACCAAGTTTTTATTGAAACACATTATTCGGTATTAAACACTAAAACCAAAATAGATAAAAATGATAATGACAGAGCATGTATTCGCAACTGGAACTCCATGCTCAATCAGCATAGAACAAGTAAAGACACACAAGTTTTAGCATATTCCAAGGACACTTAAAACAAACAAATTCCATCTTTCTCATGATCAGATTAAACTTATTTGAGAAGTGGCACAAGGAAAAAAATGCAAGTCCAACAAATGTGACATATTCAGAAGGTTATACTCATTAAGCAATGGATGTATGGATATAATAGTACCCAAAATACAATCAATTCCCACCCTAAAGAGCATAAACCAAGTTATCAATAGAAGCTTGATTTTTATATTCTCGAACGAAAACATCCAAATATATCGTAGTAAATGCACCTATATTATGCATAAAGGATATTGAAAAATAAAATCTGGCGCCTGATGATAAAATTGCTGAAGAAAAACAAAAAGAACAGGAGAGTGAGTGCTTGGGAAACATGCAATGCCAATTCTGACTCAAGCTAAAGAGACCAACAAGTCAATAACTATTATTCATCCTCTTAACATATTGTCCCAACTAACTTAACTGTATTCATATTTATTACATTAGCTACCAAGAAGTTAGAAAACAATTCTACTCCCTTGGTTTTTAACAATAGTAAGTCAAATATATAAATTATGACAATTGCTGTTGTATATATATCATTTTATCTAGATCCAGATGTTAAGCCCCATGTGATTCTAGTTTTCGCAAAAATCTAATCAACTTTTTTGTAAATCTCCATTCCATATTACAAGTTCTCATCTCTTAAAACACAAAAAAGTTCTAGTATTAGACTACTTTAACAAATACGATCATAGATAATACAACATCAATGCATTTACTTTAAGTTTCCTTAGAAGAAATTCGCCGCTACACGCCATTAGTCACAAAATTAATCATCCCTAATTCAATTATTTCCTCACCAACAAAATTTTTGAATATTTAAACATTGATAGCACATAAGGAAATTATTGCAAATTTAAAATTCTATTTTATATTTGTCTAAGAGATTCTATTAAAAAATAGAAGTCCACATAAAAACCTATAATAACATCTTATAGTAAAATTTATCATTTCCACATTATCTGTTTTTCATCTCGTTCCAAATATTCATGTATTGACTCCAATATACAACTCCAATTAATCACCATTATATTTTCAATTTTAACCGCCACTAATATAAACTAACAAACAAACCATATTACTAGACGGATATCTAATAGCAGTACTGATACCGTTTCCAGATTATTCACAGTATCTAATAACTCTAGTGATTGCCGTTAAAGTTTCAGCTTTAGGTGACCTGATACTATAACACTAAGAGGATTCAAATTTTACTGGTGAATTATCCTGATTAATGAAGTTGTCACTAAACATGTAGTGGCCATGCTAATGATGTCTCATCATTGGTAGAAGGACTAAAAGTCTTGGAGTTTGCTTTTTAACAGTGGTCCAAAAGGAAAAGACAAAAAGAAGAAAAAATGAGGGGAAAGAGAGTGTGTGCATGCATCAGAGAAAAGGGCAATGCATCTGAACAAACAAATAAATCAATTTTTTTATCGTACCTATATAATCTTCATGACAATCAATAGATTCAAAACCATTACAAAATAAATTGAGTTGCATCTGACAATATAATTAAGATCTCAATCTCATCTTACAAGGAAACAAACTTGGACATGATATCTGTCATCAGCTTGCAAGAATTAATCATTCTCATCTATTATGCTGCCAGAAAAAGATTCTCTACTTTCACATGAATTTTGATTAATTCATTTATCAAGAAATTTCTTTTGGCGTGGACAAGTATTTCCTGTTTTATCATCAATACACGGATTATTTTCTATTTTTTTACGGTCATTTATCTACTTGCTTTGCTAGAGTTGCCACTGGATAAGACAAATACATCTCATTGAGCTTCATCTAGAAATAATTAAAATATGACAAAAGGATTTGAGGTTGTATGAAAGAGGACTTGTTTAGACTGCTTGAGTAATATTTTCCTATTTATGGCAATAGTGTCTTGAAATAACCTACATTGCCATATCATAAGTACCACCTCTTTTGGCAGTATTTGCTGCCTTGATAGAGTTCTAGTTCTCAGCTGTCAAATTCAAATCTTTGAAATTATAAGTACTAATTCACTTGTAAATCCTCCCAAAACTTTCTTCTAGTATTCCAATGCAAATTAGTCTCACCTCATTCACATGAAAAATGAGTTTAGATGTGTAAATTAATATCCAAAATTATGTAAAAGTTTATTTTCACAAGTTCTCTACAGCAATGATTTGCTGAAAAGCAACTTCAACAGACTCGAATGCTAAAATACTACTAGAAAATACCATTCAAATGACTTTACGTCTCCAAGGATTGAGAAATGAGTGAGTTGATTTCAAATTACCTTGAAAAAGAAAAAGAACCACATCAGAAAATATGAAGAGAATCAATTGCTGTGGAGTAGAGGTTAACAATAGGAAAAAGTGCTAGCACACAAAATCTGCCAAGACAAATAATCTGAAGTAGGGTGGGATAAGCATGTCTCCAAACACCTTCACTAGCAACATTTACTATCAAAACCAGGAAAGTCAACTCATAGAATATTATAACTAGATGTATTTTTTCCGAATCCTTTAACTTCCCTTCTTTTTATTTTTCACTCAGAAAAGTTTAAGAATTGGAATCAATATCCCACTGATCTTAGCTTTTACTTTTGCATAATCAGTCTTATAACATTTCAACTTTCTGTAAACGGGCCCAGGCTTTTTCCAGCCGTTCAATGGCCCCTCCCTGCAACTTTTAAGCAAATTTTTGCCACACAATTATAGGCATGAGGGTGAGGTTAAGTTTAAACAAGTTAAGGTAAAATTTTGTTATTGATTTCATTGGGATAAGTTCAACAGTACCTAATAGAAAAAGCCTAATCAACGGTGAAAGTTGTGATGATGTTTTCCATGATGAACATTAAAATGAATACAAGATGCATTCTCAGATAAAATGACCAATTTGAGCACAAACCAAAATTTAGATATATAAGAGTTTAATGACGAACATTAACTTGAATACAGGATGAGTTGTCACATGCTATAAAGACTTACCAATTTAGCAACAGAAACCAAAACCTTGATGAACATTACTTGAATACAAGATGTGTGTCAAACACTTAGCAATTTAATGGCAGAAACCAAAGCCTAGATATAAAACGGTTCCAAATAAATAATAGTAAGAATAATTGAGGGAACTGCAAAACAGTCCTATGTCATTAGAGTCAAGAAGTTGATATCATCTTCTTTAACTAGCCTAAAAACCAAATTCGATCTTACAAGATATTAATTCTCAAGCTTGAGGTGTATACAACAATTTTCCATTTGGAGGAAGAATTACTTATTTTTCTTATATATTGTAAAAATAAGCTATTCCACACCATATGTTAATTTAATAACTTATCATACTAACAAAAATGGTAAGAGTTTCCTACATAGGTATCCCAGGTTTAATTGACTTCTACTCATGGTACAAAAGGAGGGAGGGTGGCAAGGATTAAGTCAACAAAACAAAAACAGCTTCAATAGTAAGAGTTTCCTCCTCTCCAACCAAACCTAAAACTAAAAGTAAAAAATAAAATAAAATAACAAGAGCAAAGATCAAAAGTTCAAAAAGGCACATTTTTAAAGTAAGATATAAATATTTACTTTCAAAATTGAGAAAACGATATAGAACAATAAGGCTAAACGCAAAGAAAAATAAAGAAATGAGAGTGAAAATTAACTGGATATGTTGGTGATTCCAACATAGTAATTTTTTATTTGTCAGTAACACAAAGGGAATGCCAATATCTCTATAATCTTTGTTGGCAGACGGTAAAAACTTAAAAAAAAAAAAAAAAAAATTCCTATCTATCCACTTCTCTGTAGGATGATATCAACATAACAAAGGCTGCTGTTAAAAATAAAAAAGTAAGAACTTATGTCCACTCCTTGCAAAGCAAGAAAATAACACAAAAACTATGAAGATTAGGAGTTCAGAAAAGCACACTTAAAGGCAACTTCGAAAAATTTACTTTTGATATTGAGAGAACACGATAGAACAAGAACACAAATTACAAGAAAAATAAAATATTGACACTGAAAGTTATCTTGATATGTCCAGTAAGTAAACAAAATAATTAAGGAAATCTAGATTATATTGTTATCTATCAATACACAAATGTACAGTTAGAAATTTCAAAACTATTACCAGTCTAGGTATCTTCAAGAGAATTCCGGACTTAAACGAATTTAATAAATTAATTAAAAGTATAGCAAGATATCTTTTTCTTTTTTTATTTTTTTTTCTAATTGGAAATGAATAAATCTAGCAAAAGATAACATTTATCTGCACAAGTCAGCTGCTTGACAAACATCAAACATAGACAATAACAGGTATTCCAAACATATGCAAAATACAGAATACATAAATATGAACACTAAAATAGGAAATCATCCTCTTCTCAAACCTGACACTACAACATGTAAGCTAGATATGAACATCTGTACATTATATGAGATATATAATCAGATCAACTTCAGCTGAGTATATTACCCAAAAAAAAAAAAAAAATTACTGCTTCCAGCTTCATTTCAATGCCCATTTTCAAGGTCAATAATCTTTCTTTCCATCTGCACTTCAAAGTACCCGGATAAGTAAATAGTTATAAATCAGAAACATTTTGGAGGATAATAAACAAAAGGGGTGAATTGAGAAAACTACGAAAAATGGCTTCATGAAATCCTTATAACTACCAAATTTAATAAGCTTCAGCATGATGCCTCACAATTAATTTTGGATTCATCCCAGCACAAGTGCAATTTAAAAAGATATGTGTTTCAGTCAAGGAAGCGTATAGATTTCATCTTCAAACAAAGCCGGCGGCATATACAAATTATCTTAAATTTATAATGATTGAGCTAGTTCTCGCTGTTGGTAGTGCATTAGTTTAAATTTTTCATTATTAAACTTCTTCAGGATTAATTATAAAGAACATAACAAATATACAGCATTTTAAGACATATGCCATCTACATCATGCCTTGATAACCATCTTACGCAACATGCACCTGTACACTAACAATACATAGCTTCTGTCCATATAGCTAAAATAATTATTCAGTCAACCATAGTGCTCTTTCGTAAATTATAAAGTAAAACCATATACACACATGAGAATTAAGGCAATACTCAACAGTGTCAAGCAATGTGGTACAAAAATCCTATCCACGGATATAGCACCAAGCACCCATTTGCTGCTATATGCAAGAGGCTCATTTACATTCACCATGTTCATCAAACAAGATGGTTTATTAATGAATCCTATTGATTAACCTGTTACCAATTCTTAAAGCTAATCCACTGTATAGTTCCATGAAGACCCAATATATATTATGTACCACCACCATCCTTTAATGGCACAGAACTATATTTTCATCAAGCATCCACCAAATTTTCTCCACAATATACAAGAGACAAATACATGCATTATATATGTGGAAAGATAAATATTCAGTCATTTATTAGAGGCCTGTAATTCATAAAGCACCATAAAATACCTGCACAATGGTCTCAAATTTTCTTCTCAGCTTGGAATATTCATTCTTAGTCCAATACAGAGCACGGAAGCAACTGAAAAAATACATTTAAAAGAAACATGCAAAATTTGAAAATTTAACCGCACATAAATATATTTAAGAAAAATGAAAATAAAGGCATTGTGTCATATAGAAAATATGTGTTTAACTTAATACAACTATTGAAGTTAATGACACATTGAAATCCAAATCATATTATCCAACATAATGATATAAACAATAATTTTCAATCCAAGTACTGATTGTCCTCTTATTTATCAACATGTCACATAAAAAATTGATTTCATAAAAAACCTTTAACATTACAGTTTTTACGCTTATATTATGGTACTTCTCTACAGGATAATGGCTTCTTTACTACATGATTACAGAAAAAGAAAAAATAACAGTTATTCAAGTACTACAAAACTGAAAATCATGGATATAGAAGCAGAACTTCAATATGTAAGCTGATATGTAATAATCTAAGGCTACAAGCATAAGAGAAATTTATTCTTACTATTCTTTGTCATTCCCCTGACAAGCCTGAATAAGTTCTGCACATGAAAGTTTAACATGTTCTGCACCAATACTGTTCCAAGAAGGAAATGTTTAAACATTATTGAGGTAGGAGCTAAACAAAAGAAAATGATACAACAATAGAAAGGAAAGACAAATAATCCACTTAGTTTATGGTATAAGTATTTTGAATTGCATGCTATCTATCACCTTCATGATTAGTAATGTAAAAAATAAATTCTTTTCAGAAAATGTTTACAATCCTGCATAAAAATGATGTGACCAGAACATAGAACATCAATTCACTACACACTTGAACTGAGGGCCTCACTTCACCAAATTCTTCAAACTAAAGGCAACGTTTAGTGATTGAAGATAAGAAAATACTTGGTCTGCAATACTAGTTTTCCCTCTTTCAACTATTGGTTTCCTTAGAGCCATATTCAGCAGTTCAACATTATATACAAGATATTGGTATAACACATGACTCTCAGAAATTTCTACCACTAATCATCGTTTCCACAGAAATCATTGATAACAACTATAAATGACGGTAGTTCAACTGGAAAATTCACAATAACAATTTATAAAATTAAAGATCATCATTGACATTAACTATAACAAGGTATTGGTAACACATGACTCTCAGAAATTTCTACCACTATTCATTGTTTCCAAGAAAATTATTGATCACAACTATAATGGTATTGGACAACAACTATAGACTAAAAACTAAAGCTGGCATTCCACTAATTACGGATATTTGGCATAGACTAAAATGGATTTTTTAACTATATGGTAGTACTATAATACTCGTCAAATAAGCAAAAAGCATATATAATTCAAGACTTCTTATTAATCTCCTTATAAAAGAATAAAGTGCAAACTTACATGCTGGTTCTTGCATAGAACTCACGAGCAGAAGCATCAACCTGATGATAATCAACCTCAGGTTGGCTGCTGCAGATACAGAAAAAGAAGTATAAGAACAAAAAACAAAAGCGAAATACGTATAGAAAAGTTGAGGGTTATAGATTTACATTTGATCAGTCAAATGAGAGAATAAATTTTGGGCATATATGCAGTAACTAGTAATTGCACGCACAACATAATCTTGTCTAATGGCATCCTTCATGGCTAGCAGTTGATAAAATTCGTCACTAACAATTCCCTGAAAAAAATCCCCACAGCCGAATGCATCACCAATCTTTATATAAGCATTTTCATTCTAGATTGTTAACTTTGAATTTGCAATACAATATATTTTGCAGATTCTACAACATGTGCTCAATTAATATTTTGTTTATATATATCGAGAAAAAAAAATTGATAAAAATTCAAACAAGAAAAAAGGAATTAAAGAAACATGAAAAAAAAAAAAAAACATCAGAGAAAGAAGAAAAACGTGCAGCTGTGAAAATGAAAAGGAAATTAGCGAATGTAAGCAAAATCAAAAACGAAAATTTCGAAAAGGCGAAAAAAAATAAAAAATAAAAAAACCGAAGCTAGAGGAACGTTTTACCTCATCAAACATTGACTGAACGAAGTTGTGAAACAGACTTCTCTGTAAAGCCAACGCCATTTGGAAGAGAGGAGAGTGTGTGAAATTGAATGCATTTAAATTGATGAAATTGAAAAATGGGGGGTTTTAGTTGGCGTGAGTTGTGAGTCAATTTAGTAACGGCTAAAAAAGAAAGAGGCAGACTTTTTAGGAGGAAAATTAACTCTCCGGACATCCCAAATTTGCATTTTAAAAAATGACTGAAAATATTTTTGAATTTTTTTTAATTTAGCAAAACTGACATAGCACATTTAGGATTCATTAAATATGTAAAATAGGTTAAACTGAAAAGATTTAAACATATATGGGTAAAATCATAATAAACAAAAGTTTGTTTAAATTTTGAAATTTGAAGACGAGCCCCCGCCCTTAAAAATCGATTAATCGAGCCATAAACCCAAAAACCGACCGACGAACACTATTCGTTTCTCTGCAATTTTCAAGCGACTACAATGCCTTAATTCCGGCAAATTTTCGATCCTAAAGCTTCCTTACACAAAACCATGGCTGACATTCACAAAGAGGAGAAAAACCCAACTCCACTCTGAATCCTAGACTCCGGCGGTGCCAACGGTTCAAAGGTTGTCAAAGAAGACACTCTGGTGGATCATCCGATGAGTGAAGGTGGTCCAGAGGCAGAGGAGATGACAGCGGCACAAAAACATAGAAAAGAATCGGAAAATGGTTCTGAAGAGGAGGACGCCAGCGAGAATTCAAGCGAGGAGAAGGACGCTGGTGAAGAAAGGGTACGTTTTTTACTTGTTTTTTTGAATTGGATAAGAAAATGGATTGATTTGTGCGAATTTGGGGGAGATGTAGTTGGTTTTATGGTTATGGTTGTTGTGGCGTTTTGTCGAGCAATTGGCGGGCACTGGTAGAGTGGCTTTATTTGGGTTCCAAAGAATGGGAGAAGGCAAATGAGGTCGTAGGGAGGTTGTTTGTGGGAGTTTGGTGGGCTGGGGATGGTAGGAGGTGTCGGAATAAGGGGGTTGGAGGGTTGCCCTACATATTGGCAAGGTTGGCCACGCATAGTGCGCGCAGAGGTGGCGGAATAGGGGGGCTGGAGGGCTGCCCTGCATATTGGCAAGGCTGGCAAAGCACAACGCGCACTGTACATGGCCAACCCTATAGGGCTTGCATTTGTAGGGCTGGCTATGATTGTTATGTTAGAAGTGTTAAATTGTAGGGTTTTTAATTCATATGTTGGTGGGGTTTTAGCTTTGGTGATTATTTGGATGTGTTTTTTTGAGTTGTGGGGATAATGGTCTTAATTGTGGTGATCCTTAAATTAGTGATCTTTTTGTATGCTATGAATGAATGTGTAACGATGGTGCATGTGTTATGTTAATGTTGTTATGTGTGATACTAATGTTTGTTGGTTGTGCTTGAAGTGTGAAATGAAAGTTTTTTAGTTCATACGTTGGTGAGGTTTTAATTGAGTGATTGTTTAGATTATTAGTTTGTAACAATGAATGAATGGATGTTGTTGATAATGGTGGTGGAGGTAATATTATTAAGTGAAAGACTAAGTTTGTTTGTTGTGTTAGAAGTGTTAAATGCTTGCTTTTCAATTGATGCTTCAGTTGAGTTTTAGTTTAGTGATGTTTTAAATGTGTTTTGAGTTGTTAACTGTTGTGATGGCAAGATTAGTAATGAGCTGTGCAGTATGGTTTTTATGTTCATTTACATTTTATGATGCTCTTTTTTTTTTCTCATACACTTGAAAAGATTAGTTGAAAAGTTCATCGTATGATACTTTTTCTTTGTTTACAAAGTATGTTGGCAATCTATTAGTTGTTTTAGTTTCCCTTTTTTTGCTGATATTTAGTTTATATCGATTTTGCAGATTTTCCAAAGCGTAAATTATAAAGACTATGGGTTGGAGGTTGTAAGCGATAAGGTACCGTACTTCCCCATAAGTGTGACAGTTAGGTCGAGTTGACAAGTTTTTACGAGAATAATGGATATTTTACGGGAACAGAAGAAGGGTTTAGACCGATTCAAAAAGAGTTGTTTCAGTCATTTTGTGAACATCGAAGAAAATTGGAAAAATGAGTTCTGGGGATAGGGAGTGCATTATACATTACTGCACTCAGTTAAAAGCAAAAAAAAAAAAAATGTGGTTCGTGGTGGATGGAAAGCCACTACGTTTTGGGATGATGAAATAAGCCCTGATGACAGCTTAAGATGTAAGGAATTTCTAGATGTGACAGAGCAAGAGAGAATAAAGAAAAGTAGAGCAGCCGATAACTTGTCTAGAAAGGTTTTGGGGAAGAAGGCGTCTATTACGGGACGCGATTGTAACGACTTCTTTCTACTAGTATACTTTAGAAAATATACAATGAAAACATACTTAATAAGAATTCCATACTAACACCAATTAATCTCATATAGAACATGAATCTTTACCTCTTAATGCTTAGGATCAAATCCTTATAGAAATCCAACCAAAAGCCCTCAAATCAACCTTGGAAAATTGATGGAACGATGAGAGAATTAGGGGTAGAGGTGGCGTGTGGGATAAAGCAAATGAGAGGGTTTGTGTGCTTGAACCCTTAATATCTCATATAACTAAGCCTTCTTTCCCACTTTGCCCTTACACTTTCTTGAAAATTTCATCCTTATCCTTTAATTCTTTAGAAATTCACCCCTATTCCAAAATATTCTCCATGAAATTTTCTTACATTTCACTCCCCACTTTTCCTGCTAATTAAGGGTAGAATGGTCACTTCACCCCTATGGAAAATTCTCTAGAAACTTCACAAAGAAAATCAGCCAGATCTTCGCCCTGACGAAGCTTTTTCTTTGCCCCGATGAAAAAATACAGAGCCTACGTTGCCGCGGCGACGATTCTTCTTCGCCGCGGCAAAGTCTGCATTTCCCAAAATCCGCCAAGACTTCACCAAATTCAGGGCATCCAAGCAATTCTAACACCCTACAAACTTACCCAAAGGCAACCCAACAACAACAACACATATCAAGTAAATTTAGGGCCAACAAACAACATTTAAAAGGCAAATGAACATGAATCAAAGATGTACTCAAAGTGGATGTTACAGCGATTTAGAAGACATGTTAGAAGAAGGTGGGTATACCTCTTTAGAGAGGTTCAAGATGTGCCTGATATGGTTCATCCATTTGATACTAATGACTTCTGACTCAACAAAAGCCGTTAATATGGACTAGGTGAAGTTTGCAAGCAACATGGTCTTCTTTAATGCTTATCTGTGGGGACAGGTATCATTTCAGCTAACCATGGACTCCCTGTAAGGAAAAGACATGGCATTAAAGCAGCACCAATCTATCAAGAAGAATAGACCGAGCACGTGCAAGTTGTTTGGCTTCTCATGGGCAATGCAGGTAAATATTAATAGCTTTTTGTTATATTTTTTGAATTATATGTGTTTTAATTATGATATGGACTGTTTTTTTTTTACAATGTAGGCTTGGATGTATGAGGTCGCCCCTGTCCTAGCTTGGGGGGGGGGGGGGGGGGGGGGGGGGGGGGGGGGGGAGGATGAAGACTTCGGATGCGCGAACACAATTTCCTAGGATGTTCGAGAAGTGTATCCATTAGGATTACGACAAAATAGACATGGAAATTCAAGTGGCTCGGGTAAAATTAAAGGATTAAGCTTTTGAATATGCACTTACTTTTAAATGTGGCTTAAATTTGATTGAATTTTTTTTTTTTTAATTATTTTAGGGAGTCATCCGTCCCTTCCTCGTTGCTATTAGGGGTGAAGCGGGAGAGGAGTATGTTACATTGTTCAAAGCACTGAAGGATGAAGCAAATGAAATGATAGATCGCCTCATGCAGGACCTAGAAAGGGTCACACATGTGAGTGCAGTTGCAGGGCCACTGCTTGAGAATGTTGTTGACGCCGAGGATGATGAAGCTCCAATCGGGAGGAGGGAGGAGGAGGAGGATGAGGAGGATGAAGAGGTTCTTACGCCTCCACCCAATTGGCAAACCGATACAACAAATACCGCTTTGCCGAGGCATCGGGGTCGGGAGAATGAGTTGGTTGACCGCATAAACAGTCTATTTGAGAGTTTTACAATAGCTGTTTATGAGAGGTTTGAGAAGATGGAAGAGTGGATGAAAATGGTGGAGGAGAAAGTTGATAAAGTGGCAGAGAAAGTTGGTAGGGTGGAGGAGGAATTTGGTGGAGTATTGAAAGTGGTTAAAGTGCAACCTGAGCTGAAAACAGAGAGCTGAAAGAGTAAGTTTGTCAAATCTCCTTACACCGTAGTAACGTATGGAAAGAAGAGGAAAATGAAGAAAAATTTGAGGAAGTCCACAAAAGTGGAGAAGCAAAAATGGAGGGGGTTAAGGAGGTTGCTGGAGGAAGTGGGGAAGTGATAATAGAGGAGGGTAAGGCAGGACGCGAAGGAAGTGTGGATGTGCAAATGGAGGAAGAGGGAGGAAGTGGGCAAGCAAAAACGGAGGAGTTAAAAGTCGATTTGTATAGGCCAATAGAGGAGGAAAAAAAAAACTCTTATATGCATATTACAATGAATCTGGAAGTGATGCCCATGTGAAGTGCAAGACCAGGGATTATCCCCGGGAATGGTTTGAAAAGATGTTGACGATGGGCAGGTGGCTTGATGACTCGGTGAGTTATTTTCCCTTACTTTTTCTTATTTTTGCTTATGTTTTCCATGAGGTATTGTATACTTATCATGTTGTTTTTATTTGATGCAGCACATCGATGAGGTATTAGCACTCATGAGGCTACGACAGAGCAGTAATGGTGATATATTGTATCTCGATTGTGTCATCACCGATGTGGTTTTTGGCCAAACGCTAGTAACAACATATGACACTTTAATGAAAAAGGCTATTGGTAGAGGTGCAGCAAGAGGAGGCAAGCGAAAAAGATTGGCCACAGATGACTTCGACAGCGTCTCTGATGATTTTCAGTTTGATGACAGGATCATGCAGTATGTATGGGGGGAAAGGCCCAAACATGGCCACAGTTGGGTAAAGGTTAAAAGAGTATACTGCATCATCAACATCAAGGATATGCACTAGATAACCGTTGTCGCGCTTATAGAGGAG